TGATGAGTTTCGAACCGAAATATCAAAAAAAAAAAAAAAAAAAAAAAAAAAACGATGCGACGCTTGTGAAATTTGGTTAGAACTCAACTTGATTTCGACTCCGAAGTTTAGCTCAATAATTTCGGTTCGAAACTCATCAGCTCGAGTGACATATAAAAATTCTTAAAATATCTTCAAAGTGTACCAAATTGATACATTAATTCATATTTCTTCTAAAACTTATAGTTACTTTAAAAAAATTGACAAAGAAAGCCTTTTTTTAAGGCCTTTACTTAGGTATACCCCCTTAACACGGCCACGAGTAACTACTGGCAATCACCGGCAACCACGAGGTATGAGCAGCACGACACGAGCATTCTTCTTCTTCTTCAATTATTGGCCAGGCAGCCCACCGGGCTGAAACTAGGCCACTGAGGTCCGCGAAAGATATTAATAAATCATATTGTAAAAACAAAAGCACTGGCCGCCTCGAAACCGGGTAAACACGGATAATAAATGAATGATGCAATAACGGAAAAAAAATGGCGCATCCCCCCAAGCACTGGACACTTGTGGCTACGGTGCCCGTAAAACGTTCTCCTCACCGCACGGCCACGCGCCGAGACAAATGAGAGAACTCTCGTAGTCAGAAATGCAATGCACAGTCGAAGTCGGCAGCACTTTTCAAAAATATTGGTCGAGGCGCAATATATCTCGAGACGGGGCGAAACACGTCCGTCTCGCTCGAATGTCCTCACGAGACTCACGACACGAGCACGGAGTATTAAGAAGGAGTAAAAATCTCCGCTTCTAAAAGTGTCTCCGTTTATATTGTCAATATGGCGTTCTGACGGACCCCACTTTCCGGTTTGTGACGTCAGCGTCTGCGCATTGCTTGCTTTGCAGCAGATGACAATTTTTTGATCGAAAAATTGTAGAAAATAATAAAACGCGTAACAACGCGTATAAATGTGTATTTTTTAAATAACATATTACGTTATATTACTGAATAGTACGAGTTATATACGAGTTAGTACGAGTTATGTCATTATGACATTTAAGCAGTTATATATTTACCTTATTTTTGAGACGTTTATTTTGACGCATTAACAATTTTTTTGATAATGTTATTTTCTTTATTTTTGTTTCCAATTGAAATTCCTTAATCTTGTTTCTATTTTTATTAATGCACTTCTTGCATGATATAACTAAATTATCCTTTTATAGAAACCCATCACATCGCCATTTCATCTTATCAGATTTAATCAAATGTCGAATGCATATTAACAATTTCGTATATACAATTGTAGTATTATATACACGTTAAATAATTTTATGATACAAAAGTTTATATGTACACAAGTTTATATATAATTAGATTAATTATTCTTTCAATAACCTTTTTGCATCTTTAAAATTCTTGCATACTTCCATATTATGAATAAGATGAAGTATGTTGACAATATCTTTCTGTAACTCTACAGAACTCGGTACACATTTTATTCTAATCGGAATATCGTCCAGAAGCACTTGTACACTTAGATCATCATAAATTTTAAGACGTCGTAACACTTCATTTTTGTCAACTGTTAAAAATGTGATAGATTTTTCATTTTCACTTTTGATTGCACCCCATGAACAACTTAGAAGCAATATGTTCGAGTATGTTGACATTAACATTTCAAAGTTTAATTTTTCAGAAGTTTGGTTGATATCTTCTGCGATGGATGATTCGATAGCTTGTTCACAATTGTCGTTTCTCTGAGGAGTAACGTTATCGAACAAGGACGGTACTTTTCTATATTTATATCATCACAATCGTCACCGGTCAAATTTGCCGTATCAGTTGCAAAAGATTCATGTTCAGCATTGGACTTCTTTTCTGAATAATTCTCGGCAACTATCAGAATAGCATTTGGTCTCAATTTCGATACTATTTTTTTAGTACGATGTACTGTACCATCATTCAGTAAAATATCGTTTGAATGAAAAACATCTTCGATACTGAAAAGTTCCTCACAAACGAAACAATATTCAGTAAGTGGCCTTTTCAACTGACCTAAATTTGCTGTCGATCCAACAAATTTTCGTCCTGATAATAAAAAAGAATAACCATAAATGTTGCACATAACCTTACAAAATGTAATCAGTACTTTCTTACGTACTTTAGGTGCTTTAAAAAGACTTTTATTCTTAATTCTCAATTCTTTGTTTCGTTTTTTGGTACTTTCCAGCCCATTTCGGCAATTAAGAACTATATAAACGCGTTTTCCCATTTTCTATAACTTAATTGATGCAAAGCGAGTAATACGCAGATGCTGACGTCACAAACCGGAAAGTGGGGTCAGAACGCCATATTGACAATCGGAACGGGGACACTTTTCAGGCGATCAGCCTATGGAGATTTCACTCCTTCGTAATACTCCGTGGACACGAGCAGACAAAAAGAGGTTAAACCACGAAATCTGAATAGTTAGACGTTTATGTCATGCTTATACACAAGCTTGTGCGTTGCTGCGCGTTACGCTATGCGCTATGTCTTACGCATTATGCGTTACGGAAAAGCCTGTGCTCTCCGCTTAAGGGGGGGGGGGG